CCTCGAACGAATCTCCATTTGAATTGGCAGCGTCTGGAAAAACGGGAAACGAAGTGATCTTTAAGCAATCTGGTGTCCCGAGAGGACGGTCGATGCTTTCGATCGACCTTTTCCCATAATTGTCACTTTTCTTCGAAGTGCGATTCACTCGATTCACGACTTAAACATTTCAATACCTTCGTTACTTGCTCGTTGTCTTGCTTGAAACGTTGGGATATTAATTTTTCGCAGCAGTATATATATATCACGACGAACTTCTCCAAACATTGCCAAAATCGAGCGACGAATCGAAGCCAAGCTCCATCTCCACCAAAAATACCATCGAGGTAGAAATACCTCGAGTTGCAACAGCTTCGAACGTGGCCAAGAAGCGGGCCAATATAAATTCGTGGACGGAAACACGAGTGTAGAGGGGCGGAAGCGCATCGTTCTTCCGCAATGGAGGATCATCGACAGCTGGAAGGAATTCCTCCTCCCTTCCTTCCTCGTAGTAGACCACGTGAAGACGTAGAGCACGTGGAGGAAAGAGACGACGCTTCTTCCCTCCCCCATTTCTCTTCTCCTCGCGCATAATAATTGGGAGAGAATCGTCGTCTCTCCCGCGGGAGAGCACGTGGAGGAACAGAGACGACGCATTCCCACTCTACCTCATCTCCTACCCCCTTAATCCATCGTTGTTCACTCGTCTCACGCCTCGCTATATTCCTTCCCCTCCCCTCTTTTCCATCGCTTCATTGTCCCTTCCCTTTCCAACGTTCGTTGCACGAGGCGAGGAGAGGGGGGCTGGATGATCGTGCAGCGTGGTCGACAGGTAGAGGAGACAGAGAGACAGGTGGCCGGGCGATATATTCACGATGTCGGCGACGATGCTGAAAACTGGCCAGTGGCCCCGTTCCCTCGCTACGGGCGGCAGCGTGTCTCTATTTTTCTGAATTTTCTCGTCGAGAGGAATAGTTAGTTGGCAATGATCTTCGAGTCGATCGATCGCCCCTACGATGTGTTCTTTGCAATATCGACGAGCGTTTCGAATTTGGCGACGAGCAAGTATTATTGTTACGCATTTGTGTAAAGTTTCCCTCGAACGACGAGTGAATAAGTTTGCGCGAATAAAATTGTAGCGTTCCTCGAGTTTTTTCGACCGAATATTACAATTCGTCTCGATGATCGGGTTAAAGGCTAGGTTAAAGAAGGGGATAGACATCGTAGTACAAGCATTCTCTCGAATCGAAGTCCTTTATTAATGGAGTTGCGAGTGGTAACGAGTCGAGAGTGGTCGCAAGGTAATCAAGTTTGATTGGTGACGATAATTAATGCCGCGAGGTGATCAAGTTTGATCGGTGGCCAGGCGACGATTACCCGTGTTACGATCTAATTAACCTTCATTGACGCTCCAAGATTACGCGCGTGATACGATTAAATTTCTACACACGCTGCTCGAGGATTCGTGAATTCGCGTGTTTGAGAGATCAAAGGGAAAAGAAAAGATGGAATAATCAAAACTTATACTTTTTATCGTGGTGGCGTGAAATTTTTTGAAAGTTGGAGAATCGATCATTGCGGCGATGAACAGGTGTGGAACGGTGCGAACAGTGAGATCGTTGTTGCATCGTTCTTGGCGACTTGTGAAAGTGGAACGAAGTGCGTTGTTTCGAGCCTGTCTTTTGTTATATCGGGTGGAGAAGGAGCAGCAGCAGCCGCCAGATTCGACGTGTAAGTGTCGATCGATACTTGTGTCGAGTATTTCTGTGTGCGAACTGCATACGAAAAGTAACGAATACATATCCTGGCCTTGTTTTTCGCCAAGGTGTGTGCCACAACATCGGATATACGCATGTTCTTGGGGGGATCGTTGCGAATGTTGTTTGATATTCCGTACGTGCGCGCGATGAGTCACGGAGGATGACGGATGGACGTTGCACGGACGTGGAAGTTCCACATGCCTGGAATCATTCGACGTTGGAGAATTGTCCCGAGAAAGAAGACAAATTAAATATTTTTTATTTACAAATGTTGCGAATGTCGTGCAATCGAAAGGAACAATCTTTGCAAATTAACGAATAACGACTCTCGATTGGAATTTTTCATCGTGGATGAATCATTCGACGTTGGAGAATTGTTAATCTTTTGTCTTTCGTGAAGAAAAAAGGCAAAATGTAGGTGATGCAATATTTTTTATTTACAAATGTCGAGCAATCGAATAACTTTGTGATGAATCGACGAATGATGAATCTCGATCGAAATTTTTGATGCGTGGATGAATCACGGACGTTGCCTGAAATCAATCGAATCGTTGGAGAATCGTTAATTCCTCGTGGAGAAAGAAGGCAAGATTTAGGCGTGATTTACAAACCTCGATCGAAATGTAAAATATCAATTTAAAAATTTGTGCGATTAACAAAGAAAGAAAAATTATCGTACCGATTTAAACGAACGTTAAATAAACGAGCGAATTATAAATTTTATTCCATTTTTTAGTCGATGTAATTTTGACAAATAGCCGAAAGTAATTAAGATTTAATGGTCGAGGAGGAGGGATGGAGGGATTTTTTTAATCGGAGTTACGAAGAGATAAAAACGGGAATGTGTGAAAATTCGAAACGAAACGTCCGTTTATTAACACATGGACATGGTTACTTCGCGTTTCGATATTCCTCCACGAATATTTCACGTATTAATCGCGTCGTAATCGCCAAACGTAAAATTCTCACTTTCTTTCACATTCAACAATGGGGGAGGCGCGAGATCAGTGTTGGAACATTTAACAAACAAGCGAATGTAATTTTTTTCATTCGTTGCTCGAAGAAATCCTAACTTTATCTCCTAAAATTGCTCCCTGACCGATTAATCCACTCGTTAAATTTTCCTTTCATCTCGAATGCTCGAAAGGGATAACACGGTTACATCGAACCGAGATTAAATTGGTATGGAAGATATTGAATCGACATCGATTATATATAGATATATAACGATAAATGGATCGATGGTAAATTGTAGGGACGTCGCGATGGGAAATATTCGTTCGATAATATTTGAAACGAATATCGCTGTTCAAACACGCGCAAACTAGAATTATCGTTCTGTACGCCGAAATCGTATCCGCCAAATGATTAACGATGTCAAAGGATAAGAAGATTCTTCGGATGGACGTTGTTTGTTAAATCGTTTCGATTGGAATAGAGAAGAAAATGAAGTCTTGTATTCCAACGTATTTTTCCGCTACGATGTGTTTGTGTTATTCGTGTTTAATCGAGATGGTGCGTGCGTTTGAATTAAATTTTAACTCTCGTTAGAAATATATACTCGATATTTGATAAAGGAAAAATGTAGATTCGTATCTTCCTGTGAAAAATGGGAAAATTTCAAAATTTTTTGTATTCAATGTTTTAATAATGGATGAAAGATATATATCGTACGATCCACTGATCCACTATTGCGAATGATATCGCGCGTACACGTCTTTGAGAGATTAATCGATTTTTATTTCTCGATTTGTATTTTTATATTTTTCAAAAAATTTATTAAAATCGATATATATCTTCAAAATAAAAGATATTTCCGTAATTATTTGCATGGTTATAATCGATACCGATGTGTCCGATAGAAAAATTCAATCTACTGTTTCTAATTCCAATATTCTTCTTTCGCATACCGTCGTTTTCGAAATTCACCGATTCGTACTAACACGATTAATAACAAATAGTTCTCGAATTGATTAAAATTTTTTTCCTTTCGTACGAAAGGGCGGCCCCCATCATTTACCCCAAATAGATTTTCGCCATTTTCTTCGCGATATCGGTTCGGCGTACCGAGTTTCACGCGGACTATGCCCGAAATATATATATATATAACGCGGAGAAGTAGTTGAGAGCGAACAAAAGGGAGGAAACGTTTGCTCGTTCAAATCACGTATCTTGCTTTCTATTTATCCATCGACCCTGTCCACCGACAGGGATCCGTTTATCGCCGTATCCGCAAAATTTATATCACCTTCAAGAACACTAGTCCTCCCCCGGGAAGAAAAATATTTCGAATTGAATCGTTTCCAATGTTCGAAAGTCGCGAACGGGCGAATTTTTTTGAAACTTTTTTTCACTTTATATTCGTCGTTTCCATTCTGAGAATCGAATTCCGCTTTCTTCGCGGAAATTCGTCGCCTTTTTCGCGATTTGAGAAGTTGGAGGGGTTGAAATATAAGGAAGTATGGAGAAAATTATTTGTGAAAACGAATTTGATTAATTTTAATTGGAAGCATTATATGATTCGAAAATAATTTGGTTAAACAACGACGAAAATTGTATATTAAATAAATTTGATCAATTTTGGTTAAAAGTACGACAAAGTACTGTTGCGAGAAGTTTGAAAGGTTTAATTACTTATGAAATGAGTTTGATTAATTTCGAAAGTGTGATTTATGAGAATTACTGTTGTGTGAATTTCACCGTGAATAGCGGACAATTACGAAATTTGTTTAATTCATTACAAACTCGAAAAGTCGTCTTATGTATTATTCATACGTGAGTTATTACCATCCGTCTCTCAATTTACATTTCAAGTTTCTTTCGCACAATCCTATCCTCCTTTCGTCGTCGAACGTTTTATTATTCGCAAATCTTGCAAAAATTTTTGCAAAAATTCCCCAACTTTTAATCGGGACGCGCGAAATTTTAATGGAAAATTTAAATACACAGAAATTTTTGCAAAAAGTTGCCTAGTAACATCCCTGGTTCCCTGGTTCGATAACGACGAATTTGCATATAAATGCATCACTGCTCGATTCGCATCGCTCGTTACGCAATTCTTTCCGAATCCTTTCCCTTCTCTCGAGAACCAATAATTCAAAACGAGCAAGAGTCAAAATATTATCCTCACCGATTCTTCATTCTGATTCTTTTCAGCCAACATCTCTGCCGATTAAAACCGCGTCTAGAATCCCCTAGAAACCGCTCGATCGATAACAACAACTCTCTCTCTCTCTCCATCCCGCCAGAGAGTGTCGAATGAAAATCCCCGATCGAAATGGTGATCGCGAGCGGATCCGGAGCGTCGAGCAAGCTGAGGAGATCCCGAAGATTGTCCTCGACCAGGGGTTTGAAGCGGGTCGGGGCGAGGCAACGGGACGAAGAAGAGGAAGAAGGGTTGTTCACGGCCCAAGACTCGAGCCTGTGCCCCATGCTCGGCGTCGAGGAAACGAAGAGGAGCAACAAGGGTGCGGCGATGAATTGGGAGTTGAACGAGAGGATCAGCCTGAGCAGCGGCTCGAGCCCGGGTTTGGAGGTTCGGCCGGACGCGAGAAGGGGGATAGAGTTGAGCGGGAACCGGAAGAAGATTGTCAAGGATCTGGATGGGAAAGAGGGGAGGCAGCAAGGAAGCGGGTCGGGCCTGGAGCTGATGAACGTGTCGGGATTCCAGGATAGGAGGCGTGACAAGGATCGTGCGTGGCCGATCGATTCGACTGAGAAGGGGGGGGATAGGGAGGAGGGGAACGTGATCAAAAGCGACTCGAAGTACGAGATAGGGATCCCTGGCAGCACGGGTTCGAGCAGGAAGTGGAGCAAGCAGAGGAGACAGCAGCTGTCGTCGTCCAAGTCGCGGAAGTGGAAGAACGAGAAGGGGGAGGAGGAGGAGGAGGAGGAGGAGGAGGAGAAAGGCGCGAATGGTAGAAAGAAGACGGAGAAAACGAACAACGACTCGATCTCGAAGAGGTTGGAGCTGATACACGAGCTGAATCAGAAGATCCTGGCCAACTACGAGCGGTTCCAGCAGAGGTCCAGGTCGAAGAGTCACGGCTCGAAGGAGGGTGGTAAATGCGATGCTTGGTGGTCCGGTGGTTCGAGCAACGGTGGTAGGAGCCGGGGAGGATTGGCGACGAACGAGGCGAGGAAGGAGGAGCAACAGCAGCACGCTGAGGCGAGGCGAAAGGGCAGCAGAGCGAAGGTGTCGACGGATTCGAGGGAGAGAAAGATGGAGAAAGTTTCGAGGTTCGCGTTCTCGAAGGATCGTCGAGTCGTGGACGCGTCGTTGGATCCGAAGAGACGAGGATCCTTCGACGCCAAGGATCCTTCTTCTCCTTCTTCTTCCTCCTCCTCGTCCAAGTCGAGAACGTTTCGGGATAACGAGAACTTCATCATGGCGGCGAGGCCAGGTTTCTGCGAGGTCAAGGACGAGGATAAGGGGGAAGGGGAGTGGAAGGATCGCGCAGCAGAGGCGACGATTGTCGAGGACACCGATCGCCTAGGGAGCTCGAGATTGTATCCGGAAAGGTGTAAGTCTAACGAGGCGAGAGTAGACGATTTGGAGGGAAGAAGGGGGGGGATCTCGCGCGCGAACGAGACAACGGGGGATCGTGGCCATCGTGGAATCGACGACGAGGAGAAGAAAAGCGAGATTCTGGACGACGATCTGTCGGGCGAGGCTGTCGAGAGGCTGTTCGAGGAAGGAAAGAAGGATGAGAGGGGGATGGAGGAGGTGGAATCGACGACGGCGAAGAAGAAGAAGAAGAAGAGGGAGAACAAGTTGGAGAACGATGACGGGCGAAGCAGCAGCGGTGGGTGTTGGACGAGCAGCGAACCGACGACGAGCAGCCCGAAAGTGGCCAGACTCCAAGAGACGTTCAACTCCTCTTGGGACTCTGGCGTCGGTGTGGATATCGGCGGAGGAGGAAGCGGTTGGGTGAGGATACACACGGGGATCGAGAGCAGCCTCGTCTATCTCACTCTCGATACCACGGCGAGAGACGTGTGCAGGGACATGCTGTTGGGCGACGACTTGTCTCTGTTTATACAGGTAAGCGGACCCCCCCGAACTTTCGTGGCTAATTATTCATTTGATTTACGACGCAAAGGTTGCGCGCGACCGCCCCGCTTAATGAGAGGGGCGAACATGCTAATGAGGCTAAACTGCTCCTCTATCTCTAACTTCGCGTCTTCTACGACGATGTTTCAAATTCAAACGTTTCTCTTTTTCTCTTTTTCTTTTTTTTTTTTTTTTTTTTTTAACGCTCGCTTCGTTTCGAACTAAAGAAGTTGATTAGTGATTTTTTTTTTCTTATTTCATAATTGGAAGATTATTCTTTTATATGCTTTGGATAATTTTTAACGAAATCTCTATCACCGATATTATCGCTCGAGGATAATTCTCTCTCGTTTTTGTCGAGCTATTGTCGCTATTGTCGTGTCGAAACTAAAAAAAAAAAAAAAAAAAAATAACACGCAGCATTGAGACAAATATGAAACATCGCCGGCAAGGAAGTTTAAAAGGTGAAACTCGAAATGATAAAAAAAAAAAGAAAAAGCGCGATGTAAGAAAGGGAAGAGGAGAGGGGGAGAAAAAGGTAGAGGAAGTCAACGGTTGAGAATAGGGAGAAAGAATGGGGGGGGAGAAGGTTTTCACGATGGAATATCACGATGGACTTTATCTCGTGCTCGAGCGTTAACGACATCTACGACCGGAAATCCTGACGTACCGCAACATCTTTCTCCCTTTCTTCCTCTCTCTCTCTCTCTCTCTCTCTCTCTGAAGGGATCCCAGCGAGACGATTTCGTTCGACTGAGAAAGGGTGAAGAGAGAGAGAGAGAGAGAGAGAGAGAGAGAGAGAGAGAGAGAGAGAGAGAGTAG